CACCTCCACTTCCAGCTTTTTGGGTGGTTCTCTTGGAGACTTTCCTGCCAAGGCTGGCTTTGAACTCAGACCCTCAGATTTCTGCCTCCTGAGTAGCTAGGATTATAGGCATGGGCCCCTGATTTACATTTGTTTTTGCACATCTCTTTCTAATTCATCCACTTTCTCATCAGTGGTTCCTTCATTTGCTCAACAGATGTTTTCTATATGAGTCCAACAGGGTCCTTGCACATAGTAGGTGCAGAGAGAGGTACAAAATGATTTATCTTCTTGTCACTTCTCACAGATGCCCTGTGGCCTGGCCCGCCCTGTGCTGAGAAGGGACCATCCTTGAGGAAGTAACATCAGCAGGAGCTGGACAGTGGGGTCTTGATTTGAACTAGTCTGCTAACATGAGCCATCAGTGGAGAGATGAGCGGAGGGCAAGGGTTCTTGCATCCTAGAGAGCTTCCTGGCTGGGGCAGCTAATACCTGCTTGAACTTAGAGGTCAGCTGGAAGTGAGGCAGGAAGCCAGAGGTGGGGGCTGTGTGTTCTGCCTTAGGAGCAAATCTGGCCCCGTCTCAGGCTCTGTGTTTTCAGGAGCCAGTTGGTTGAGGTGGCATCATCAGGTGAATTGGATTCTGATGAACACTCGAGCTCGCCCAGGCTGGTGATCTGGCCCACCCTTCTGGACCATCTAATTGGAGAATAGTGGGCTGGCTTTGCCAGGCCAGCCTGCCACCCACCCCCTGTCACAAACTTGAGTCCATCAGGCCCCATGTGTTTGGATGCCACCTGCAGAACAGCAGTAGGAATTGTGACCTTTGAACCAGGCAGGTAGCAGAAGGCAAGAAGGGGTAACTGTCCACTGGCCTGTGCTGGAAAGAGTCCCTGGAGTTCTACACCAGGGACCAAGGCCCAGACACATAGGAAGCAGATATGGGCTGGGTCTGAGGGCCAAATGACCCAGCTCCTGGGGACCAGAGCCCCGCCCTCTCCCCCAAGGCTGGAGGAGAACACTCTGTTGAGATGCTGCTGGTGGACAGAGCTTACAGCTGGTGACCAGGTTAGGATCTTAGAACTAAGCCCCAGCCAGGGCCACTGCTCCTCATTCTAATAGTTAAGGGGCGGGGGGGGGGACACAGAACCCAGAGGCATTTTCCTTTGTGGTCTACATGAGAGACCCAGCATCAGAAGTTAGAGTGAGACAGCCAATAATCAAGAGTGACATTAGAAGGATTTCTTCTGTCTTCCTCTGGGAGTCAGAAGCAGGAGTTTCCTCAACTTCCTGCCACCCACAATGCCAGTCTATCTGCCCTCATACCCCTTTTCACATCTGCTGGCACACCCCACTCCTGGCCAAGGGGGGGTGCCCCACAGGCCGAGGCGATGTCAGCCAGCCTTGCCCTCCAGATGGGACCCGCGTGGCCCCCTCCCCGACTCAGATGAGACCCTCATTGGTGACGCATGTTGTCGGAAGTCACAGACCAGAGACTAGGTACAGGTCCCCACCTCTCAGGCTGGTGGTCTTGGCACACACCCTGCCACTTCCTTGTTTCTCCTACTTGGACTTAGTGGGTGGTGAGAGGTGGGCAGCAGTAGACTTCCCTTCCCCATGGAAGCCTGGACTCTGCCAGCTCCATGGAGGCGTCTTGGGGCTGTGTCTTGCCTCATGTATTCCGGGGCTGTCTTCTCCCCGCACCCAGGATTCTTGGGTTGTGTGAGGTCCCTGAATTCTTTTATTTTCCCCCTAATACTCAAGTTTGAACTCAGGGCCTCACTCACTTGGTTGGCACTCTATCATTTGAGTCACACCTCCAGCCCTTCTTTTAGCTGGTCAAATGGAAATAGAGTCTTGAAGACTTTTCTGCTAGAGCTGGCGTCAAACTGTGATCCTTTAGACCTAGTAGTTAGGATTAGAGGCATGAGCCACTGTATATATATATATTTTTTCCTTGCTAGCCTCAGTTTCTCCCCTCCCTTCCTCCCCCCCATTAAACCTATGCATTTGGGTCACTCCCTAAGTCTAAAGACTTTTTTGAGGGTGGGGGCCAGTCCTGGGGTTTGAACTCAGGGCCTGGGCACTGTCCCTGAGCTTTTTACTCAAGGTAGCACTCCACCACTTGAACCACAGCACCACTTCTGGCTTTTTTCTGTTTGTGTGGTGCTGAGGAACCAAACCCAGGGCTTCCTGCATGCTAGGCAAGCGCTCCACCACTGAGCCACCTTCCCAGCCCACCCGTAGACTTCATAACCTGGAGCTGCTCTTACCCAGTTGGCTCTGTTGCTGTGGGGTGGCCCCAATCCTAGACTTCATTCCGAGGCCCCTGCTGGGCTCCATAGGGTATAAGATGGGTTGGGGGAGCTGAGCTATATCAGGCAGAGGTGGGGGGAGGGGCGGGGGCATCTCCTCTTGGCCTGGCTGCTAGGAAGTTGCTCAATGGAGATGTTTATTTTTGGTGAACTGGGTGGGATTTCTTTCCTTAAAAAAAATCCCCAAACATAAAACTTATTTATGTGCCAGGAAGATGCATATCTTTGCTGAAAACCCTCAGCCCAGCTGGCAGCCACAGTGTGCACCGCGCTGTGCAGGGGAGGTCCTCCGTGCCCCTGGTCACCGCGGGGTCATTTGTGACATCTTTGGACCCGTGCACCAGTCCTCTGCACTGGGCATGGCCCTCGGGCACAGCTCTTACAAGTCCATCCGAGGTGACTCTGGGTGCCCACCTCACGCCCTTTCTTCAGTGCCTTGGAGAAGGAGAGGCAATGACAGAAGCGAGGTATCCCTCCCAGCTTCCATGAGGTACACAGCCGGGACAAGAGGATCCTGAGCCTTGGCCCCCAGGATCTAGACAGAGTCAAAGACCCGGGCAGGAACATCACTGTGACTTCGTTTTTGTTTGGTTTTGTTTTTGGTGTTGTGCCGGGGGCTTGAACTCAGGACCTAGACACTGTCCCAGGGCTTTTTTTGCTCAAGGCTGATGTTCTACCCCTGCGCCAGAGCTCCATTTTTAATTGGAGATAAGAGACTTACAGACTTGCCTGCCACGCTCTGGCTTTCCACCCTCATCCCCAGATCTTGGCCTTTTCCTGATTATGGTGGTTCTTAACATCTGCTACTTGGATGGTTTTGCAGCAGAGACCGGGTTCAGAGTGGTCAACTCTGGTACCTCAACGTGGACTTGTGACGAGGAGGCTTACCCCCGTGAAGGGTTTTGTGGACTGCTCCCACACTTCTCATTGACTGCATGCATCCGTTCTCCTGCTCTGCCGGGCCTCACAGGCAAGGGGGCTTGCACCCCCTCTGCACACCTCCAATTGGGGCCTGTCCTGCACGCCCAGACACATCCTTCCACACTTCTTCTCACTCTTGGAGGTCTGGTCCTATGTCGGGGTCCTGCAGTGCTGACGGAGCTCGTGGGCTTCCCAAGCAAGGCCAGAAATGAGAGCCAATAACCAGGCAAGCCAGCACAGCCAGCACCACACACGCCAGCCTTTGCATTCTCACAACTCCCTGTGAGCAAATAAGCAGGGGTCTGTGTGTGTGTGTGTGTGTGTGTGGTTACTAGGGTTTGAACTCAGGGCTTGTGCATGGTTGGCTGGCATTCTGTTACTTAAGCCATAGCTCCAGTTCTGCCACGTGAGCCACAGCTCCAGTTCTGCCTTTTGCTTCCTTCCTTCCTTCCTTCCTTCCTTCCTTCCTTCCTTCCTTCCTTCCTTCCTTCCTTCCTTCCTCATCTCTCTCTCTGTCTCTTTTTCATGCTGGTACTGGGGCTTGAACTCTGAGCCTGATACTTTCATTGAGCTTATTCACCCAAGGCTAACACTCAATCACTTACGCCACACATTTACTTCCAGCTTTTTGCTAGTCAATTAGCAATGAGTCCCTGGATTTGTCTGCCTAGGCTGGCTTTGACCCACAATGCTCAGGTCTCTGCCTCTTGCCTCTTGAATATCTACAAATATAGACATGAGCCATCAGTGCCCAGTTTCATTCTGTCCTTTTATTTTTGTTTGAAATAAGGTCTCATGAACTTTTCTGCCTGGGCTGGCCTTGAACTATGATCCTCTTGCTTTCTGCCTCCTAAGGAGCTAGGGCTGCAGGCATGAGGCACCAGCACATGGCTCACCTTCACTTATAGAGGGGAAAACTGAGGCTCTTGGGGGTTAGGGAACCTATCTGAAGTGCAGAGCGGGGGAACACTCCCCGGCCAGGCCCCAGCTGGGCCATCTGATTGGGCCAAGCGTGGCCTCCACCTTGTCACCCTCCACACCTCTGCTCTGAGCCACTAGGTGTGTGCTGCATTCTGTCAGCAATGCCCAGCAGTGAGCTGTGAATGTGTGGATCACCCCTCTGAGGGAGGTGGGAGGCCTGCATGTGGACATCCCGGGAGACAAGGGCCTGACAGCGCCCGTAGATGGCAGGCAGCTAGACATGGCTGGTGGTGGGAAACCTGGCCCAAGCCCAATCGTTCCAACCCCCCAAGGGAGGAAGGACCTCAATGGGCAGTGCTGGGGAACTGTGTGGAGGATGGGGCGGGTGGGGGGGAGCAGGGGGCAAGGGGTGTGGTCCTCAGCACTGGAATTTCGGAACACTGACTCCTGGGACCAGACTCTGCCTCCACGCTGGCCTCTTTGAGTCCCCTGAGCCCTGGGATCTGGGTTAGGAGGTCACTGGGTGGATTCTTAAAGAGATCTTGACGAGTGAACGTTGTTGCTGTGGGGTAGGAGCTTAGCTTTCCTGGAGTGGGGTTAGGATCGCAGATTGGCCAGGCCAGTGTCACATGTTATTGGTTTTAGAAGGGATCCTTTCAAAGATGATGCCAAAGCTACTCAGAGAGGGAAAGGGACTTACCTGAGGTCACACAGCATGTTGACACTAACCTGGATTAGAAATTGAGTCTCCTGATCTCATATTCGAGGCTCCTCTGGGGAGAGGCAGGATGGGCTCCCCCAGCCTCCCCTTCTCTCTTGCTGGGTTTGTCCATTGGTTTCTGACCGTGTTTCCTTCCCTTTTCAGCCAAAGAGAGCTCCCTGGGTGAACCGGAGCTGCCACCTGACTCTGACCCCGTGGGCATGGACAGCTACCTCAGTGTGAAGGAGGCTGGGGCAAAGGGAGCCCAGGAGCGGGCGAGCGCCGACCTGCCGAGCCCCCTGGAGAAGGCCGACTCGGAGAGCAACAAGGGCAAGAAGCGGAGGAACCGGACCACCTTCACTAGCTACCAGCTGGAGGAGCTGGAGAAGGTCTTCCAGAAGACCCACTACCCCGACGTGTACGCGCGGGAGCAGCTGGCCATGAGGACGGACCTCACCGAGGCCCGCGTGCAGGTCAGCCGGGGCTGCAGGCCAGGCTAGGGCCCCGCTGGGCGCATCCACCACGGGCAGCTGGGCCAGGCTGGCTTCACACTGGGCAGACCCAGAGAGGAGGTCGAAGGAGGCGATCCCAGTGGAGGCCCAGGAGGCCACTCTGTTCCTGGCCCTCCACCGCATGAGGCCCCAGGCTCTTGACTGAAGAACAGGGGTAATGGAGACGGGAAACAGGGTGTTCATGACAGACCCATAGCATGGGCGAAACCCCGGTGCCCTCAACCGTCTGCTGGCCATGTTCTCTCTGCCTTCAGATGTTGGTCACACACTTGTCTGAGGGGTCTTCCTGGCCACCATGGACAAAGTAGTCTCCCCCAGACCTCAAACCCACTCAACCCCACTCCACACAACCAGACCTGACACAGATCAGTACAACCCAAACCAAAACAACACGATACAATATGCACAACACAACTCAACTGAAGCCAATACAACTCAACACAACCTTACCCAACACAGATTCACCCAACACAGTTCAGTTCAGCCCAACATAGCTCAACACAATGTACCCACCACAACCCATCCCAACATTGTACAACAGGCTCAACACAGCACAACTCAGTAACCCTAACACAGCACAACACAACTCAGTACAATAAAACCCAACACAATAAAGCTCCACCCAAAACAATTCAATTCAATGCAATACAACACCTTAAATTCAACACAACACAGCTCAACCCAACACAATCTAACCAAACCTCAAACAACATAACAAATCAACACGATCCAATGTAACCCAGCACAGTTTAGCACAATTCTTACAACACACCGCAGCCAAATGCAATACAGGACAACAAGACATAGTCAAATGCTATACAGACCAACCAAACAAGCCAACACAGCCCAACATAACAGACTAACCCAGAACAGCATAATCCAACACAACATAGCCCAATCCAACACGACTTAACTCAAACCAACACTGCTCAATACAAATACAACTCTACACAACACAACACAACTCAACCCAATGCAATCCAACCCAATCCAATTCAACCAAACCAGGTCACTTTCCATCATTTTATTATTTGCCCTTTTTTCCTCTTTTTTTAAGGATTGTGTGATTGGCTTACTTTATTTTGCCTGTCCTTCCCCTCCCACTAGGAGTTCCTTGGATGTTCATTCCCATATCCCATCTCCCCACCAAGGAGAGAAGCTAGACTGTAAGCAGACCCAATGGCCCAAATCATTATCTAGAGACCAACTGCCTTGCTTTATCCAGAGGGTGAGTCCCTCTCTGCATGGAATCATAACAAAGAAAGAACCAGAAAGTGCAGATCTCTGAGTTGTCAAAATAGAGTTGACAAAACTCACTCCACTTCAGTTGCTCAAGCTTCAGTTTAGCACAACATATATGCCCAGGTTGCTTTTTCATACACTGAGTGCTAGAAGCTTCCAGGCCAGTGCTGTCATGTGGCAGACTTCCCAAGAGTGGAATGGCGTCCATGTTAATCAGTAGTGCCATTCAGACCTTTGGGCCACTGAGCATCAGAACAGCCCTGCAGTCCACCACAGAGAGCTCTGGGACTGGTTCACTAAGGAATGTGGGTCTAAGCCTTATAAGATGCCTGCCTCTCTCAACCATTCTGTTGAACATGGATGGCTGAGGCTGTAATTCAGCCCATGAGACCTCACTTGCCCGAGCCTAGCAGGAACCTCAGAGTTCTGCTTCCGTTCCAGCTGAGGGATTATGAGAGAAAGAGGAGCAGGCGGGCAAAGGGGAGATTGACTTCAAGGCATCCTCACTGGTGCTGTGTTGGCTTGGGATAAAGCAGCAAAGTCTACTCAGTGGGTTGCATGGGTGTGTTGCATGTATGCTTCCTAAGAAAGAATGCCCGTTCCAAGAGCAGAACTCACTGAGAATTATGAAGCCTGCCCAGTCATTACAGAATACAGAAAGAACACTGAGGTGCAGTTGGCATTCTTTAGTCACCATTGTGTAGTTAAAACAGGGTTCTCCTGCTCACACTTATGTACTTGGGCATACTTCAAAGACAGACTTGAGGCAGTTGACAAGTTAAGATTTCTCATTGTGATCTAAGATCAAGGATGATGTCATGAAATGGGAAGGTTATTATGTCCAAAATCTTGGGTTGAGCACAAACTCAACTCTGAGCTTCCTGGAAGCAGGTATAGAAAGGGAAACACACACACACATACACACACACACACATACACACACACACATTCCTATTCAATGGGAAGGACTATCGAAATACAGGATGGTAGTGATAGACAGGATCACTTGATCTTCTGACTTGATAGATGAGAAAGAAGTCGCAGAGGCAGGAAGTGATGGCTTGAAGCTACTATAGACTCAGAAGCAGTGCTGTGCCGGTGTTCCAGTCCAGCGCTCTTTGACTCTAGCTTGCTGTACCAGGACACATGCCAGATTGTTCTTTGGCTTTTCTTTGTACAAAGGCAGCAGGGTGGGTGGGATCTTCATGTGCGTCAGACCTCTGGGTTGAGCTCTGAGCCTGGCAGTGCCCTGGGGGGTTTGGGGCTGTGATGGAACCCCTGCCGGCCTCTGTGGAGGTTGTTTGGGGCCCCGCACTCAGCTGGTGACAAGCCAGGTGCCTGGCGTCGAGTGGCGGTGGGGATTGGGAGGGGGGTCGATGGGGTGGGGGTCTCAAGATGGACTTTTCCTGGGAAGAAGCCTGGAGTTTGGCCTTGCTCCAGGGTGGGGTGCAGGGGCCTCTCTGTGCTGTCTGGGATTCCAATATCCACAGCTGGTGTCTGAAGACAATAAGACAGAGGCCTCCCCGCCCTGGGCCACCCCGCCCTGGCCCCAGATGGGCTGCGGTTAGCCAGGCCTCCGCCAAGACAGTTGGTTCTTTGCACAGCTCGGTCCTCGGGAGAGGCCTGTGCTGAGTGGGCCTAGGCCCGGGTGGGCCCAGGAGCGGGGTGGTCCTGGGCATAACACGCAGAAGGAGAGGATGGCTGGGACTGTGCAGTGGGCTCTGCATCCCGCTGCATAGTGGAGGCAGAGCTCAGAGGCCCGGCTGGGGGTCAAAGATGAAAGACCCTGGGTGTTGGCACAGAGTGGCCACCAGGATGTGCTGGACCAGCAGACTTAGCTTTCTTCTTGGTCTGGTCAGAAGCTCTAGACCTGGGCACAGGGAGAGGCCAGAGGAGAGCTTCTGTAGGAGGTCTGGGCTGGCCTGCTCACCACCCCTTCTCCTAGCACCCCTGCCCCTGCCCCTGCCCACCTCTCAGCCTTCAAATAAACCCATCCTGGCTCTCTTCCACTCCCTCCCATGGCCAGTGCTCCCCCACCATCCTCACCAGATAGTCGCCCCTCACCCCCTTCCATCCCCACCTGTTCCTCTCCTCAATTTCAGACCCCCTTGCCAGATGCTTCTGTCCCCCCTGGGGTCTTTCCTTGTCCTCCTTGTCATCCCCAGAGCCTGCACTGATACATCCTCAGACCTCTCCATTCTCCCAATGATTGGAACCAGGGACCCCGGCAGCCATATCAACTTGCCTTGCCTTTGCCCCACCCTGAAAGAAAGGAAAGAAAAGAAAGGAAGAAAGGGAGAAAGAAAGAGAGAGAGAGAGAGAAGGAGCCAGGGAACAGTATATCTTGATGCCTCTGGTGGGCTTCTCCCCGCCCCTCGACTTCCCCCCAGAAGACTCTGGGAGGCTGAGGAAGGAAAGGGCTAAGCTCAGCCTGCAGGAAATTAAACATGAAATGAAAACAAGCGCCTCTGATTCACTCTCCCAGCCTGCCCAGCCCCCACTCCTGGCCACTGATAAAGGGGGATCCAGTTTCACAGAGCTGAGCCCCCTGTGCCTCTGGCTACCATTGGGCTGGCCTGGGCTTGCACCCCAGGGGCTCCCTGAGGAAAAGGGGCCCCAGGTGGCTCTGGGGTAGGAGCTGAGACTCCAGGGAGGTCACAGGAAGGGCACATGTGTGGACATATGTGCACGTGCACATGCACGTGTGTGCACACACATGGGTGTCCTATGCACGAAGTGGAGGAAAGCCATGCACAGTAGGGATGGAGAAACACCCTTGTGCAACCCTCCACCCTACCCTTTTCTCCCACACGGCCTCCTTCTTTCCTGACCTCTGTCCTCTAGCAAGAGAGCGAGAGAGGTCAGGAGCTATAAATAAACAAATGAGAAGTGCTCTAAAAACTCTGAAGTCCCATCTGTCTCCCCTCCGCTGCTCCCATGAAGTGCCATCTTTACTCAGGGCTCAGCGCCCCATCCACAGATGCACAGCCAAGGCCACGGGCGGGGCCAGTGCTCCATGGGTATTCTGTTTGTTCACTGAACTCCTGGGAGGCCCCTGGGAAGGCCACAATTTCTATGGCAACTCCTCCTCACCCTCCCTCTCCCACAAGCTGAGGCCCCCGACAGCAGGCCCAACGGTGAGTCCTTCCTTGCCCAGGAAGCTGGGAAGGTTCTCAGCTTGTCACAAATGCTCCTGCCAAGGAAAAGGGCACAGCATTCTCCTTACCTGAGACTCGGCGCACATCTGACCCCCAGATCTCCCTTCTCAGCCAGTGCCACCCAGTGCCCGGCCTGCCTCCACGGCATACTCACTACCCATGCTAGTGTCAGCAGGGAAGGGACAACTCTCTACTGCAGTCCACTCTCCACACGTGTTACAGGGCCACACCCCACTGACACTCTGCACCCCCCCGCCAAGAGCAAACCCCTCTTTGGCATCTGAGCCTGAGCCTGACTCCAGCTTCCATAGTTCTTTCTCTTCTACCACTTGACCACTGCCTCCCAGTCTGAGTCCTGCTTGCATAGCTCTTTCTTGTCCACTACTTGATCAAACTGGCCTCTTCGGGCTACCTGAGCATGCCACGTGTTCCTAAGCTCAGATCCTCCTGCTATTCACGCAAGGCCTCGCACCAGCCCTCTCCTCTGGGAAGCCTTCTGTGACTGTTGCTGTTGCCTGGCAGAGCACCTGTCTTCCCAGTGTACCAATGCTGGGACCAGTGAGTGACTAAACGACAATGCCCAGGGACATGTTTTCAGTGTGCGTGTGTCACTTGTCTGGAGTCTGAAGTTTAGACAAGTGGACGTACTGACCCAAGATCATAGCCATGGCCTGAGGAGGGTGAGCTACCTGCCAGCTCACAGTCGATAGTTCTATATTGTACTCTGTTGAGGACCAAGGCCAAAGCGGACGTTTACCTGTAACCCTAATACATACTTCTAATGGCCACTGTTTGTACTGCCCAAGGACAAGGCCACCCCCCCCCCCGGCCTGACACTGTGACAACCATTTTGTCTACTAGGTCTGGTTCCAGAACCGTAGGGCCAAGTGGAGGAAGAGGGAGCGCTTCGGGCAGATGCAGCAGGTGCGGACCCACTTCTCCACTGCCTACGAGCTGCCCCTCCTCACCCGAGCGGAGAACTACGCCCAGGTAAGTCCTGCCGGGAGCCTCCTACCATCCCAGGGCCAGGTGTGCTGACAGTCGTCTCTCCAAGGAAGACATAGGGTCCCAGAGTCGGTGTGTCTCGTGCCAGGTGTCTATCTGTATGGACTAGAATGTGGGAGGCCCAGAACTGCACTGCCAATGTAATCACTCTCCCAGACTCAGCCAGGCTTTTGGGGGGAAAGGACGTGGCTAGAGGGCCCCTGTATTCCTCTGGAGCATCAGAAGAAAGCAACTTCTGAAAATTGGAGGGCTCATGGCCAGGCTAGGATGAACATGGAATTCTGTGCCCCACAGTGAGTTTCTGCCCAGCCCCAGGTCTTGCTCCCCTCAGCTCTCAGCTTGTCACCTGTAAATTGAACTTGATAGAAATGTTCACCTCATTTCAGTGTGTGTGTGTGTGTGTGTGTGTGTGTGTGTGTGTGAAACTCAGGGCCTAGGCACTGTCCTTGAGCTTTTTCACTTAAGGCTTGTGCTCTACAGGTTTGAGCCACAGCTCCATTTCCAGTTTTCTGGTGATTAATTGAAGATAAAAGTTCCATGCCCAGGCTGGTTTGAACTGCAGTCCTCACACTCAGCCTCCTGAGCAACTAGGATTACAGGCATGAGCCCCATCATCCAGCTTTACCTCAACTCTTTTGTAGGACCATTCTAAGGTTTAAATTAAATCATGCAATACCACTTTGGGAATTTCACAATTTCCTGAAAGCAGTTTGCACTAGCCAGGTCCCCAGGTGACTATGTTCTGTCCCTCCTGTCTTTTCCCTGGGCATCTTTCTGGATGATGTCCGTTGGCCAGAGCTCATCCTAGAACCATCCAGGGCCATCATGAAACACAAAGGAACAAGAAGAACTGTCCGTAGTGATGTCAGCCATCCAGGATATGTAGGCTGATGAGGGGTTTTATTTTGTTTTGTGGTACTGAGGATAGAACCCTGGGTTTTGAGCATGTTAAGTAAGCAGCTCTACCTCTTGAATCACACCTCCAGTCCTTTTTTTTTTTTGAGAGTCTGACTAACTGTCCAAGCAGTCTGGAGTTCTCAATCCTCCTGACTACACCTCCAGCCCCAAGCTTGCCCCCACCCCCCTGCCTAGAGCAACCAGCCCATGTCCCAGGTCCTCCTGACTGCTACTCCCCTCCATGCCTGAGTGCCATGCTAGCAAATAGTCTCTGGCATTATTATCGCCTGGAGCAGCTCTTTACTCTCCCTGCCCCCCACCTCTCCCAGGATGCAAAGGGGCAAGGGGGCAGACCCCAAGGTGAAAGTAAGGAATGCACAGGGCCATGTACTTCTGCACTTGTGTGTCAGCCCCTGCCACATTCTTTCATGCTCTTTCTCTTTTCCTCCTTGTCTCCCTCCCCAGATCCAACCTCCTTCTGTACTCAGAGGGCTACATCAGCTCTGGATCTTTGGCTTTGAATGATGCTATCTGAGCTTGTAACTAGAGGGGGAAAACCAAGGCAGCTGCTCATCTTTCTTACCTGCAGCCCCACAAATCCCAGGCTCCACACAGCTTCCAAGAGAGGGTAAAGAGACCAACCAGCTCCCTCCCCAGGGCATGCTGGAGGAAGATGACACAGCCGATTTGCAGGCAGTTCTGATGCCCTAAGAGTGTCCTGTAGGACTAGGGGGCCCAGGGTCCACTCTGCTTTTAAATGTCTCTCTGGTACCTTTGAAGGAAGGGCAGGGTAGCAGAAGCCTGCCCCAAGCCCCCAAGACAGTGGAGAGGTGCATGTCTCCTGTCAGAGCTGGTGTCCTGTACTCCAGGTCCACGTGTCCAAGGGCAGGGTGGGAGCTGGGAAGGAAAAGGGATCACCACACATCCACAGAAGATTAGATATCTACTTCAATCCTCTCATGGGGCCAGAGCAGCCTCCCCACTCCTAGGGCTCATGAGTGCCGGGCCTCAGCTCTATCTGCTCACTCCAGAAGCTGTCCCCTTCCATTCTGGGTTAGTTCTGAAGCCTTAAGAATTCCATCTTGGGGCCAGACCCAGTGGTGAGCACTTTTAATCCCAGCACTTTAGAGGTTGGCAGGATAAGTGAGAGTTCCAGGCTACCCAGTAAGACCCTGCATCATAAACCATGCCAGGTATCAGTGGCTCATGCCTGTAATCCTAACTACTCTGAAGGATGAGATCTTAGGATCTCAGTTCAAGGCAGGGAATCCTTAAGCTCTTATCTCCAATTAACCAGCAAAAAAAAAAGCTGGCAGAGGAGGTGTTGTTCAAGTAGTAGAGTGCCAGCTTTGAGTAAAATGAAAAGAACCAAAAGCTAAGAAACAGTGTCTAGGCCCTCAGTTCAAGTTCTAGGACCATCATTCACACACACACACACACACACACACACACACACACACACACACATATGTGTTTTGTTTTGTTTTTTGTTCTGTTTTGTTTTTTTGGGTCCGGTAACTCTGGGCCTGGGCACTGTCCCTCAGCTCTTCAGCTCAAGGCTAGCGCTCTACCACTTGAGCCACAGCACCACTTCTGGCTTTTTTCTTTTTTGCTTATGTGGTGCTGAGGAATCGAACCCAGGGCCTCAGGCATGCAAGGCAAGCACTCTACCACTGAGCCACCTTCCCAGCCCACATATGTTTTTTGTCCTTGGCCCCTCAGCCTCTGACCTGGGGACCTTGAGCCTCTGCTGTCCACAACCCCCTCCCTCACACTGGCCTGCCAAACCTGAGTGTGTGCTCTCAACCAGTGCTCTGTGTCGTACATGGTGGCCTTGTGGCCTCACTCTGGATGCTAGCTGTAGCCTGATACTCAGTTCTTGCTCCTGACTTCCTGCTGCCAGCCTTCCCTGGGAACAGAGGTACCAAAGGATAAAACCCCAGTCCCAGGGGGTGTCCTTCAAAGTCAGGCAGGCAATCACAAATAATGGTCTCCTTATCATGGCGACACGAAAGACAAGGTATCTCTCCTACCACCACCAGCCAGCTCATGAGGTGTCTCTCTTCTCCCTCCCCAGATTCAGAACCCGTCCTGGATTGGCAACAATGGGGCTGCTTCACCAGTGCCAGCTTGTGTGGTCCCCTGTGACCCCGTGCCAGCCTGCATGTCCCCTCACGCCCACCCCCCTGGCTCTGGGGCCAGCAGTGTCACCGACTTCCTGAGTGTCTCTGGGGCTGGCGGTCACGTGGGCCAGACACACATGGGCAGCCTGTTTGGGGCCGCAGGCCTCAGCCCAGGCCTCAATGGCTATGAGCTGAATGGTGAGCCGGACCGCAAGACCTCCAGCATCGCAGCGCTGCGCATGAAAGCTAAGGAGCACAGTGCGGCCATCTCCTGGGCCACATGACAGCACCCCACCTGTCCCTCCCAGTGCCCCTCCCTGCCTCGGGGTCCTGGCCATGCCCCTGCTTTCCAGGCCCCCAGTCTCCCACTCAACCCTCTTCTTAGGAACCTGGCCTGGCCCAGGGGCCTGGCCCTCAGCACTTTCAGCCACCCCAAGTCTGAGGTCCCATGGACTGCTGGGACTGAGTAGGCAGCAGGCCCCTGCATCCCCCCTCCCCCAAACTATGGTGGAGAATCCTGGTCGCGGCCCCAGGCAATGGAAAAAGCCAGGTGGCCACCTCCTGCAGCGTTGTGTCATGATAAGCTGAGGCCTTTTCTCCTCTCTTGCTCCTCCAGCCTGGCCATTTGACCTTGAGTCAAGGTTAGGCTTCCCTCCTGACCCAGCAGCCTCGATGATTGGTCTTGTACCTTTTCTGGGGGGTTCACTGGGCACTGGGCTGGTGGCTGTATGTCTGAGAGACAGGCACTATGGAGAATGAGCTCCTGTCACCTTTCTTCCTGGACCCACATCCTGGACCCAAGGCACCTGGAGAGCCATCGATCTAATGGGCCTCGCTGACTGCAGCCTGGCTGTCCCTTGGTGCTCTGTGCTGGATGCACTGGAGAAGTGAATGGCGGAGGGGAGGAGTCAGAGCTAAAGGACCCTGCAGTGGCCCATCTGGAAGGATGGCCCTGGAGGAGAGGACATGGACCTCGAGACTCTGGTATCTGTGGACACTGCCGAAGAAGAGCCAGGGGTGAGGGCAGCTAAGAGCACGGCTCCCCGGGACTCCATGGTGCTGGAAGTGGATAAGCGCTAGGAGGAGGAAGACTGCAGGGAGGGCCCCAGGGGCCAGGAGGGGCACCACGAGGGAGATCTGAGCAGCTGTACTCTGTGGCTTCTGTAGGGTCCCTCTACGAGGATCTGGGGCACTTGGCCCTTCCTCTCTGAGCCCTGTCACTCATTTGGAACTGCTTAGCAGTGTCCTGGAGTGGCAGGATGTACAATGTGGAATAAGCAAGCTAAGGCTCAGGGTCCCAGCGTAGGGCTCAAGAGTAGCGGGCAAGCTGTGCTAGAGGATATGTGTCATGCTTGGCTTCCAAATAGGATGGTCTCAGACTGACTGCCCCTGGGCAACACCTCTGGAACCCCTCTGCCCAGAGCCTGGCATGGTATAGAGGTTATGTCCATCTAGGCTAGGGGGATGGGCTGCTCTCCTATAGCTCTCCAGGCCCTTGTAGAGCCTCTCTTTCAGCTTCTTCTGCAGGGGCCAGAGTCTGTGTCCTCTCTGTTCTTTGGAAGGACTCATAAGTAAGCTGTAAGCTCCTCTGGGTCAACCTTGCCAAAGCCAGTTCCCCCACTCCCACCCCAATCATCTGACTTGATCCAACGCTACGTTGGCAGCAACCCCAGCCCTCCCAGCACTAACAGCAACAGAGCCACCTTGAGCTAGATCCCTCCTGCAGGTGCCCCTCGCCAAGATGTGCAGGCCTTCTCCACCTTCTACCTTGGTTCATGTCAGTGGGGAAGGGAAAAAGCATGAGACTCGGGGTCCTGGACACGGAATGGCCTCCCAGGTTGGGCCTGGAGAAAGCTTGACATATCTGATGGCCCCTGCCCCAGAGCTGCTCAAGGTCCTGGTAGGCAAAGGTGTGTTATCCTCTGGGCTGGTGTTCTGATCTGCTCTGGAACAAAACTGGGGAAGGACCTGGGTTTGGCTGGTTTCATAGACCTCTCTGTGGACCACAGCTCTTAGGTTGATCTTAGGGAGAGGAAAGGGTCTTGGATATTAAATGTTAAATGTTCCCAAAGCCTTGGCTGCCAAGTGTTTGAACTGTTTGAGGGGCTTGGGGAATGTTTCTCTAGTTCTGAGGCCCACTGAATTAGCACGTTCTCCCCAGAATCCAGCACAGGGAAGAAGGAAGACCTCAAGGCCAGAGCAGTTCCCAGCACCCTTCCTAAGTGTCTTCATGGCTGGGGAAGGGTAGGTGTGAGAGAAAATCTCACCACGGTTGTGTCTCACATGTGAGAGAATCAGAACAATGAACTAGAAGACCAGGAAAGCTAGGGAAGAGGAGGACCAGAGGGAAGGTTTGGTTAGATTTTTAGAGAAGGGATTCCCTGCTGCTTTATTCCTCTATGTTTGATTTCTGGCCAGGATAGATTCAAGACAGGCAAATTTCAACCCAAAGTGGTTGAGAAGGAAAGTCCTCCATTAGCAGAAGGTTTTGTGCAAGTGTCCGTTTTAAACACAGCCCTGTCACCTCTCAGAGGGAGCCACGCATGCCCAGGTTGGGCATCGTCCATTCCTGTCCTCACCCTCCGGGCCTGCCTAACTCCAATCACTAGGCCCTGAGTGAATTTCCTGAGGCTGTGCTGAGACAAGAGCCCAGGCTTACCACCAAGGGCCTGGGCCTCGGCTGGCACCCGGTGTGACACGGGTCTCTCAGAGCTTGCCCAGAGCCTTCCTCCATCAGTTCAGCTGTGTTTAGTTTTCCACAAGAGAACTTATGGCTCTTTCTGGATCCTTTTTTGCTTGCTGTCTCCCCTAGCAGCCCCTAGGATGCTGGGTGGTTGTTGGAGCTCTCTGTGGCTACTGAAATCAGGCGAAAGAGATTCTGCTAGGCAGATAAGCAGAGAAAATAGAGAATTTCCTTTGGTTATATGTTCAGAGATGCCACTGAACAACAAAGCAATGGTCATCAGCTGCAGAGTGGGTCTCCCCAGCCCTGACAGGCCCCTATCTAGTCCTTCCTTGCTTGGATCATGACCCAGCATGTCGAGGCCACACACTAATGTGCTGCCTTCCAGGCATGGGGGCCAAGGCTCTGGACAGACAGACGACCCCATGTCTGGAATGGTACTGGGATGGAGGACATGGGTTTTCATAACTTTCCTTGAATTCTTCTCTCTGTACTTGACTCTCAGCTCTCACAACCAGCTTTGAGAAGCAGGGCAACTGCGGGTATAGAATGCAAGAGAGCGAGAGTGAGGAGGACCCAGCTCTGGTGCCTTAGCTCTCATCATCCTGCTGGGTAGGCGAAGGAATGTTTCCATGGAAACCATCTTGTGTACCACATAAGCAGCCATTGCTCCCTGGGATATCCTTGGTGAGATTGTCATCCAGGGCTCCAGGGCTCTGGGATGGCCCTTCAGGCATCGAGGCAAACAGCCCAGTGTATGGGGATGGGGTGTGGTAGGAAGAGAGTGTGCTGACAATCTGGTCCTCAGATACCTAATACTCCATGACCATCCCATTAGAAAAGAAGACTTACTTCCCAAGGCTCCATTAGCCAAGGGAGGGAAGCGGTTCCCATTGGACACTATCAACCCAATGAACGTATTTTCTCCCAACCCATTGAACGTATTTTCTCCCTTTCCTTCTCCTCTTCACCCTTGCCTATAGTTCTAGATCTTTATACTACTGATTTTGAAGGACAGTTTTCAGTGTATAATAACCTGTTTGGTTGTGCAGTGCTTGGACAGAGAGAGAGAGAGAGAGAGAGAGAGAGCCGAGTGCAAAATGGAACATGAACCTCAACCAGTACTTGCTGTTCCTATTGTAAGATATTTTAACCCTGTATAATTGCAACTTTTCCTTTAGCTTAATGGCCTGGGGTGGAATATTAAATATATATATTAAAAAACTTAAAATTCAGAAAAAAATGTAAAGAAAAATGAGGTCGCTTCCATAAAGTTTGATGGCCTCTACCACCATGTAACTACATTATAGCAAAGTATTAAAAAAAAAAGAAGAAAGAAAGAAAGGAACGTTCTTACGTTTTAAAGTAAGTTATTGCACTTACATCTTTTGGGGGGAGGGGGAGAAGTGGGGGGGTTAGGGACGGGGACGCAGGATGAAATGCCACAGTCCCTGTGGGTGCTCCCAGCACCCCCTTTCTTGGGCACAGCCCAGACTGTCTGTTTGGTTGTTGTTGTTTGCAATAAACTCCTTCTCCTTCCTCCTCTCAACTGGAATCTGTCTGTTTTGTTCCTGACTTATGACAGATGAAATGTGATCAGAGGGGCCTCTGAAATCTCACGTTAATTGAAGTCGGCAAAAAATACTAACAGTGCCCTTTTGAACTGCTGACACAGTGCAGAATGGATTACCAGGCTAGATTAACAACAGGTGGCCGGCTGATGCTCCCGCACAAAGAGGGGTACATGGCCTGTGAGGGTCTGGGGCTGCATTCCCCCCCTTTGCCCCTTTCACAGCAGGCAAGCTAGAGGGGGGCAGAGGCCCTGAGAGCCCGCTCCTCAGGCAGCTCCTGGCCTCTCCCAAGTCTGCAGGGTGCTCAGCACGGCCTAAGCGCTCAGGGCCTTCTGAGCAGCTTTTCATGTCTTCCTTGTCACTGTTTCCAGGGGCTGTTCTGGAGGAGTGCAGGCATGGGGGTTGCACTATTTAACACTAAGAGAGGTGCTCCAGGTCTGTGACTTAGTGGAGGGGTAATTTTCCATACAGGAGGTATAAACAGATTTTGTGTGTGTGTGTGTGCATGTGTGTGTGTGTGTGTGTGCATGCACACATGCATGTATGCCAGTACTGGAGCCTGGGCACTGTCCCTTCACTTTTTCACTCGAGGCTGGCAATCTACTACTTGAGGTACAGCTCCCTGTTTTTTTTCTGGTTAATTAGAGATGAGTCTCACAGACTTCTGCCCAGGCTGGCTTGAACTGCAATACTCGGATCTCAGGCTCTGGAGTAGCTAGCATTGCAGGGGTGCCCCACCAGTGCCTAGATGAAAGGAACCATCTTTGTAGACCAAACCAGCCAGCCCTTTGTTCTTACAGGGGATAATAGGCTTGTCCCTGTCTACCAAGTTGGGGGAAGACTACACACGTGTACACACATGCAATTTGTAAGCTTTGCGGCAGAGGGGCATAGAGATCGATGAATGTCCCCGGTAGGGGACACGCATCTCATAGAAACTCTTCTCAGCTTCTCTTTCCAACTATTCAAATATACCCTTGGAGCCACATCTCTGACTTGCTGCCTGTGGTGAGTAGATTCTCATTCAATGTACCCAGCTAGGTGTTGAGTGGGCCTGGAAACTACTTGAAGAAAGACAGCTGTCACCCATGAAGATTCTGGGTCACTTGATCCTTACACCAAACCACTAACAAGTCACAGGAAAGGACTGAAGCAGAGATAGGGTCTTGTGCCAAGACACAGGAAAGCCAGGGAGCGAGGTTCAGGCTTACATCTTACCTTTTCCTTTGGAGCGGGGGACACC